AGTGATGTGCAGATCGATACTGAAATATCGATACTAGCGATACCAGAACTTTATATTCTAGAATTGATACTAACATTAAAATATTGATACTTTGATACTAGCTACTTCACATAATGTATATCATTAACAGGAAACATGTGGTTGGAGGGAACTGCTTTTTCTTCCGCTCGGGTAATGCATGCGCACAGTGGTGCGTGCTCAGTYAGTCACTCAGTCTGTAGATGTATGGCAGGTCATTTTAACATAAAATCTGCTTCATCTGACTGTAATTGCATTCGAGATGAGGGGTTCCCAAACTTTTTCATGCCACGGCCCCCCCAAACAGCATTAACTCTGGCCAACAACCTTCTTGCAAACCCACAAACAATGCTACAAAATATACAAAGTGACAACTTTTATAATATTTTTCTCACTTTTATTCACTATTCAAAAATTGTTGTATTTCTTTAGAATAAGAATTTTAAATTGTGATAAACAAATATAGGGTTAGGGTTGGAAACACTTTTAAATTAAATAAATTACTATGTCATGTATTATTTATAATGTACGACAGAGTATTAGGGCCACACAAGATTTTTTTTTTTTAATTTTTAAATTATGAGAATAAAGTCCTAATAAAGTTAATGAGATTAACGTCATATGAAAATAAAGAAATTTTCTAAAATTAAAGTCGTAATATTAGTCTATACCCTTTACAAGAAAAAGCATGCAGTTACCACTGCATTTAAATGAGGAATGTTGAGCAACCTGTCAAGTTCTTTAGTATTGCTTCAAATAAATAGTTAATCTCAAATTATCAATTGTAGAACTTGGAAATTGTGCAAACGATTAAATGATAAACTGAAGCATGCACAGACAGATTTAGTCGTCACGTAGCTAATTTGGATGAAAGCATATTAATCTAACAGTGACCCAAGTCATCGCTGACTACTTTATAAACACAGAGACATGGCTGTACACAGCCGGTGAGTAGGGGTGTAAGAAAATATCGACACACTGAAATATCGCAATATTTCATTTCGATACTGTATCGATATTCTAAAGCCCTGTATTGATTTTTAATTGAGGTTTAAAATGTCAACCTTCTTGCCAACTGTTCATTTTTATGTTGTAGTTCAGCCTCTGACCACTAGTTGGCAGCAGTGAGCCAACCATTTGGCTCCTCTACCTCTTGAGCACCAGAGAGTAAGGG